GGTTCAAAGATCAGTCCCAACAGCTTGAGAAACACACTGGGACCATGTGTGTATGTGCCCCAAATCCCGACAGGATGACAGAGGAAAAGGGTTTGCAGTATGACCATGCCCCTTTGGGGGTGGGGAACACTTTCCTACTCTTCCTCTCTCTCTCTGGTGAGCACACATACCCACTGGCTTATTAAAATATATATATATAGGGGGCCAGAGTGATACAGCAGTAAAGCATGATGATCTGTGAGGCTGACCCGCATAAAAGGGTTCCAGGTTTGTGTCCCAAGGCCTCCCTGAGTATGTCACTTGGCATGTGGGTGCCTGTGTTCTGGGGCTGGCTGAAGCTAGGGTTGGTTGCAGTGCAGGAACCCTGTTAGGGGTCCTGTCTTTCTTTCTCTCTCACTCAGAAAGAAAGAAAGAAAGAAAGAAAGAAAGAAAGAAAGAAAGAAAGAAAGAAAGAAAGAAAGAAAGAAAGAAAGAAACTTTAATTGTTTTAAATTTACTATCTTAACCATTTTTAGGTGTACAGTTTGGTGGCATCAAGTACACTCACACTGCCGTGCAACCACACCACTATCCACATCCAGAACTCCCTTTATCTTGAAAAATGGAAACCCTGTACTGTCTAAACAGTAGCTCCCCATTTCTCACTCCCCTAGATCCTCACAACCACCATGCTACTTTCTATTTCTATAAATCTGACTTGTCTAGGAACCTCACATAAATGGGCCATACAGTACTTGTCTTTTTGTGACTGGCTCATTTCATTTAGCATAATGCCTTCACGGTCATCCATGTTGTAGCATCAGAATTTCCTTCCTGTTTAAGACGGAACAATATTCCATTCTATATATACACAGCGCATTTTGTCTACCCATGCATCTGTTGATAAGCACCTGAGTCGTTTCTACCTCTTAGCTATTGTGATAATGCGTTATGAATGTGGGCGTGCAGATACACGTGCAAGTCCCTGCTTTCAGTTCTTTGGGGGATACATACACATCCCAAAAAGTAGAATTGAATCATATGGTAACTATATTTAATTAATTTTTTTATTTCTATTTTTATTTGTTTATTTTTTTCCACAAGTGAGTGAGAGAGGAAGAGAGAGAAATATTCCCAACAGGGTCCCCACACCATAATCCACCTCCAGCCCAAACCAACCAGGATTATGGTCATGTGCATATACCCAAAATGTATAGGGAGATGCTGGGATATGACCCCAGGACTTTCCCATGTGGCTCAGCATCGTCAGACATTGTGTAGTGCTGCACTCCCTATGGCTAGCCATTGTTTAATTGATGAGGAATCAGCATACCATTTTCTACTACATTCCCAACAATTTCTCAACATCCTGCTGACTCTTGCTATTTCCTGCTTTTTTTTTTTTTTTTTTTTTTTATATGTATTCATT